ACTGAGCAGCAATGGTTAAAATCAAATCTCTATCATGAAACTGTCCTTCTCAAGATATAATACTTACACCCATTACCGGTATATTCTAAAGTGTTTATTAAAGATTTAGATCTTTATTCATTGTTTACCCTGCATGTAACAGACCTTGAGTAACACACATCATTTGAATTTGACATTTGCATCTCACACAACAGCTGTCATTCTGGGGTTATCAAGGTTAAGAATGTGGGAAAATACACATAGCATACATTCTTAAAAAGCAAGTGTTCATGACTCTCATTGTTTAAACATACACCTCAGGAGTACCTCTGCCAAGGTACTGAGTGGAACTGCACTAATCTTCTTTCTAAACAGAGTTGTGTGGGTACGGGTGGGACTAAGACTCTCGGAGGGAAAACAGACCTACCAGTCACATCAATCTACCTCTATTTCTGCAGTTGATCATTATTTTATGTCAATATGCCTTCAAACACCATTTTCATTTACTGCTGTAGCTCTGCAGCAGCCCCTTGTGTCTTCCAAAAAAATTTAATAAATAAATCAAACCCATCACTGGTATCTTTGTTTTTTGTATGTATATCTCATTATTCTTGAGTTTCTTTGCATATGAAGAAGCTCAACATAAGCAACATATGTTTAATCTTTCAACTTTTTCAAAATTGTTGGATTTCTATTCCAGCATTTCCTTTTCTATTCCAAAAATAGATATATATCCTGTATACCAATGCTAATAAACTTTATAACTACTTTAGTTTTAATCACATTGTATTTACGTTTCATTTATGGATAGATCCCCCTTTCTTATAAGATGACACAGAAGCAGTTGATTTAACTTCAATTTAACATATATTAATATAGTCATTCATTCATTTATTCATTCCTTTTACATGGCATACATATCTTTCCTAAATTTCATTCACTTTTTCCCCCATGTCATCAAATAACAAAATTAAACAAAGCAGGTTTCATCCAAAGAGGCTGCACCCATCATGATCCAGCATTAAATGGCCGTTATTAGCAATTATTAGGCTGACAAGCAAAGAATCGATCTGATGGCAGCTCTATATCGTTAGCACTAAGAACTTTGTTCATTAGATTATTTATAAAGGTAATCCTAGCCTGTTGGATTCCATAAATACCTTTTAGTCCTTTTAAAACATGTTATTCCATGACTGACATCTGTTTCCTTTCTGAGGTGAATGAACTCTGAAACAGATCCTACTGGAGCAGAAAATGGCTCACAGGGAACCACTAGTTTCAACTTCTGACTCAGAGCCCCTTCACCACCTCTATGCGACCTTCCATCCTTTAAAACGACCTTCTCAGGACCTCTTGCAGTGCTGTAATAACCCCTGTTAATGTCTAAAAGGGTGAGACAAATGTGTAGAAATATGATATCTCTGTCCAATTGTTCTACCTGTCACCAACACACATCATCTAACTGTAATACAAAAAAGTAACTATGAAGGGTGCAAAGAGACAATTGCTAACATTTTTAACACATGACATAGATTTACAACACAAAACTTGTTTATTTACCTGTTGGGTTATGCTGCGCATGTCTCTATACCACAGTGAATTGGACACATCTTTAATAAACAAACATCATCTGGGTCGGGAGTAATTTGACTCTGTATTTTATCTGGCCTTTATTAACCTTTAGTGAGTAGAAGAGCAGTAAGTGTAATCATTACCTCAAACTGTGTGTGTACAGAAATTACTAAACCAATACTGCTAGTGGTGGCTTTGCTGGTAAGTTGATTTAGATGTATGGGTGAGAACAGTATAGAGGATAATTGGTGTTCTCTGCGCGTCCCGAGCCTGTATCATCATAAACCCTTATTTCCCTACCATGTACTGCTCTCCTTGCTGCCCTCAGGGAACAGGCTTGGCAGCATTCTATGCAGGACCAGCAGGTTCTGAAACAGCTTTTTCACTGCTGCTATCAGACTGATAAACTGTTGAAACTCTAATCAAGTCACTAAACATGACTCCGCATCACACTTGTAAATATGATATATGCACAATATGGTTAATTTTCAAATCCCTTTTAGAACAGAACTCAACTCAATGTTTCTACTGCATTTGCACCATATTCTTCTGATCACTACTGCACTTTAAAAAATGGAAATGTTCATTTCACTGCTGTTAGATCCTCATTCACCGTTGAAAAGCTGTATGCAATGAAATTTCGTTTTGTATACACTCTTTGTATACAAGATGACAATAAAGTTTCTCTATGTCTAATTGCTGACATGTTTCTTTTATTCAAAGTTCCTTCATCCCCCAAAAGTGATTTTTTTTTTGTAAATAAAGTTGTTGTGGGTGACTGTAAATCTGACAGTTAACAAGTTCTTTCTGATCCATGTTTGTACAGTAGTGATTATTCTCAACCATATGAAGATGTTGGATAGGGCTGAGGACTCCATCAATAACTGGACCAACCAGTTTTTCCCTGTATAATGTATACATTTTAACTGCATTTTATGGTTGCTTTGGTTATCTTTTTCTTGTAATTTTTTTTAATGACCAAAAACCTTCAAGTGTGGCAAAAAGCTAAATAAATGTCATGAAAATACTTCCTACAAAATCTCTGAGTAGTTGTTGGAAAGGACATGACTTTAAAGGAGCAAGAGGAACTCACTGAAACAAGCAAGATCGTTTCAACCATTTCTGCCGGGGTATCCCTTTGGTGTTCATCGAAACAGGCCCGGCTTTCACACTGAGCATAAATACAATTAGAAACTATAGTATTAATTATATCTATAATATGTACTGAGTTGGAGTGTCATTTTTTTGTGTAATTTTGGTTGGTGGTGCGATCAACTTTGTAAATGTAAAAAATGCTGTGGCTCAAAAAATGTTGAAAATCACTGGATTATACAACCCATTACTCTCAGAGGCCAAGAACTTTGTCATCCACATAGCACTTTGCTTATAAAATTCACCAAAGAGAAGAGGCTAAAGAGTAATTAAGAGGTAATTGTAGGTTTTTTTTTTTTTTTTGCATTTGATAGATTTTTTGGTAATGGTAAATCAATTCATTTTACTCATCCAGTATGGCTCAGAACAGTACAATACTAAATAAGATGGGAAAATGGTCTTTCACATTGAGACCAAAAACTAAACAAACTGAACAGGCGGTCAAATCTCAAACAGCCTATGGGCGAGAGGCAGAGTACCCCCTGGACAGATCCACAGTTTGTCGAAGAGGGGTAATTATATTTTTTGAAAATCTCATTAAGATGTGTCTGAAAGATGCTTAGAATGGCTTTGTGTGCCTTTTGGGGAATAGGAGTTTGTGCTGCATTCAACACACTCACAGACAACAGTGAAATCACTCCGATACCTACCATACCTTTTTCTTATCTCAAGCATTTAATTTTGACAAAAAAAATGATATCACTGATAATAAAAAAGAGAGGTGAAATAATATCTAAATTCCCTTAAGGCTTGAAAAAGCATTATTAAAATAAATTAAAACGATTGGATATAAATTAATTAGAAACATAGTAGTCATAATTTGGACACACCCCTCAAAGAGTTTTGAGAGAAAGAAAATCATTTCAGAAACGTTCTCCTCTGCAAATTAAACAGAAGTAAATCCCTGTTATAGGTTTTTAAATCTCACCCAAAAAACATCCCAAATGCTTCCTGTTTAACTGGTAAGAGTACAAATGTATTTGGCTGACAGCACAAGGCACCAAATCAGTTTAATAGTTTCATTTTTTACCTCCTTGAACACTCAGAAGACAGACAGTATTAGGTTTTGAGTCAGACTCTCATTACAGTGGCTGCACCAGTTCTCTGTGTGTTTGGCACACAGCTAAGGCAAAGGTTGATTTGTCTGAATCTGGAGACAATTAGTGGCTGGAACAGAATTCAAAAAGCATGAGGCATTCAAAGACGGGGCTCCCAGTTTCACAGTGCTGTTTTGACAGAGAGCTGTGAGAGAAAAGGGAAGTGAAGCCATTTCCTTTTTGTCCTCCACTGGAAAACAAATCGTTCTGGATGAGATAAACCAATAAATGTGAGCTTCTCATTCCTGAGAGGAGTTTGGGATGATTTAAAAGTTTGGATACATACTTTGAAACAAACCTCTTACCTACTTTTAAAATCTCTAATGAGAGCCGAGAGAACACAAAATCCTTACAACAGTTCAAATATATAAAGTTCCCTTGTCTTAAATAGTGCTTCCATTTCTAAATACCCTAACCAGTAAAAAAAAACATCTAAAAGTGATCTGAGGTCCCTCTAGCTTCAGCATCACAGCACTAGCCTTTTAAACCCTGCTTTATTTCCCAGGGATAAAATGCTCCTCCCATGACCGCCACCAAAGCCAGCACACAGACCCATATGCCTTAGTGTGTTTTCTGTTGTAGTGGAAGTTATCCATCACATTCTGACTCCAACCCTGCAACTCTGTGGAGCCCCAGTCATTTCATCTCTTCCCATCACATCTGCCAAAACATTTCTACAATGCTTTCAGAGCACTTTTCAGATGCTCCCTGCGTAAAAATGACCAACATGTTAGCCTACAAACATAATGGGAAACAGAATCCACCAAATAGCGTTTAGTGTTGGGCACCAAATATTTCTTTGTTTACCTGATCAGCTTTTTTACTCTGCAAAAGCTCCAGGCAGGCTTATCAGTTTTAAATTCAATTTAAAAATACTCCATTAATCCCAAAGGGAAATTAAATGTTGCAGTAACTGATGTTATTTTTTGAAACTGGTGTTGATAGCTTTAGGCAGGAAGGATCTTCTGTAGCGGTCTTGCCCCAGATCTGGTGTCATCTACGCAGTTTATGTGGTCAGTCACAGTCATTGCATCAGCAAAACATTTTTACATCAGTCACATTATTTATTAATCATTTTATTTACACAGTTTTTTTTTAGTTAAATCCGTACAGTTAAAAAAATAAATGTCAAAAAAAAAAAGTTTAACAACAACAAGCAAAACACAAAGAAACATTTAACTGATATATCTACATTTTTTTCCCCAATGTTGCATGTTGTTTATATTGAGTTGGCCTTGGACTGGAATTTCTTGAAAATCTCCATCAGCTTCTGAACATCTGCCTCACCCTCTTCGATGGTCTTGGAACAGAGGCGGTGCACTCTGCTGTGCATATCCTCCAGACACTTCTGTTGAAAAATAAGGCACAGAACACACACAGTGAGAGTGGGAAGCCAAACGTAACTTCTTGATCGTGAGACATCTGGAAATAAATCTAGTTTGTTCCAATAAGCAGTTCATCTCTTGATAAAATTGTATTGGAATCACTTACTGTCTACATAATAGTTGTTGCTCCCATATTATAACATTGCTGGAAGCATTCAATGATGAAAATAAAACTTGCTTTTATCCACTAGGGGTGCTAGATGGAAAACTTCCAGGTTTATACTTTCTTTAGAAGGTAAGCCTATTGATATGTTTTGTATATTGACCTAAATATATAATTTTATTTATCCCAATTTAACCTAATTCTTGCATTAAAAGAAGTACACCATTGTTCTAATAACTTGTAAATAACATCCTAAACATTCCTATTCAGGTCAGGTGTATTCATATTTACAACTGATACATGAAATAAAACACAAGGCATTTTTCATAACATATTGTTCTAAAGAAATCAGCAAAGTCACCTCAGTAAGGGACAGGTGGTCTGCAAATGTTGTGAACACTGAAGCCAGGTTATTGGCTACTATTCTCCTCTCTTCACTTGTCTCCTGCAGGACCAGGTGGTACCTGAATAGAAAAAAAAAAAAAAAAAAAAAAGGAAGCAAAGATAAAGTCACAATATATTTTTAATCGATCTTTTGCTGAAGATTGTCTTCTGTACAAAAATATAAAATACAAAAAGTAGTATCATTTAATTATTCTAGAAAGATCTCAAGATTTTATCAAATTAAGCAGGAACGTAGAATGAAAGAAAGGCGAGGCACATTTTCAAACTTCAGATTTTTGTGAAGGAGGAAAAGAAAGGTAAAGTTATGGAATAGATGCAGCAAAAAATAAGGGAAAGCATTTGAATAAAATAAGAATTGAATTTCATTTATTTATTTTTTTAACTCTTCAATATGTTATTCTTATGCACTTGTTTTAAGCTCCACATTTGTGTGACCATTTTTTCTACAATCTTTGTTCTGCTGTAAACAAGAATTTTCCCATTGTAGGACAATAAAGGGATTTTCTATTCTAAATCAAAAGAAATATAAAATGTTTGATTAAAACTGAAAGGGGCAACAAGAATGAAATACAGCAAGAAAGAATGTGAGAATGAGCTGCTTTTTAACAGCTAAGGTCCCAGTGCAATCTAACAAATCTCACCTTAACACTGGTAGTGGTGTGGATGTTCATATTTTCTTTGTATGCCTCACAGAAAACATATTAACTAGGGATGCACAATATAATCGGCCCCCTATCGGTATCGGCCTTAAAACTGAATATCGGACATCGGCCACCCCACCGATATTTAACCCGATATTTGATCAGCTTCTGAGTTTCTAAAGTCTAAAAAAAAAATACTACTTCTTCTTCCTCAAAAACGTTTTTACAGACTTAAAAACTTCTAAAGACGAGGGAAAAAATATTGATACATTAAAATATCACAATATCTTCATATGCTGATAAATTGCCATTTAAAAACACCATATCAATCTCTTTCACTAATGAAATATTGCTATATGTCATCGTTATGCTACAAAATCCCCCGAAAATTCACGAAATTTTGCCATATTTTTATATGTTGATATATTGACGCGGTATCGATCTATTTTACTAACAAAATCTCACAAGAATTTGCAAAATATCACGAGAGTTTGTAACAGAACGATGAAATTTCACAAGATTTTGAAAGTACAATAGATCGATACCGCGTTTCTAAAAATCAATTTGATATCAGCATATGAAAATATATTTGAGTATATTATTTTTCAAAGTGTCAGAAATGGATAACAAAACTGCTATTTCAATGACTACTTATTTTTTTCCAGCTTTAACATCGGTATCAATATCGGTTATCGGCTACATAATCCCAATATCGTGCATCCCTAATATTAACTGCCAGATTTCTTAACACAAAGGACATTTAGTCTTCTAAAGTCCCCAGTAAAGACAAATTATTTAGTACAAACTGTAGGAGCCCATAACTATGTTCAAGGTTTTAATTTAACCAATTTCTCTACAATAACGGTAACTACAACTTTTTAAAAAATTAATTGAATGAAATTTTAAAAACAACATAACTAAACAAGTTTGTTGTTAGGTTTAGTCCATAAGGGTTTCTATAAGGATGTATTTTTTTTTTATCTTGTAAATTAACATCATTGTTAAATATAGTGAAGAACAGCTGGAAACCAATTAGCCTTTAGTTGAGTTAATAACTATACAACAGCAAAACAGAAATAAGTGGATTAATAAGGAAAAGTTCCAAAAAACAATGATGGAATTATTATTAAACTGAATATGAAATGGGTTCTTTCCAAAAAAAAAAAAAAAAGAAAAAAAAAGTTAAAAAACAAACCCCTGGGCTTTGTTTGAAGTTTGAAGACATTTCGCTTCCCATCCAGGAAGCATTTTCAATTCAAAATGTCAGAAATAGCTTTGAGTTTGAGGCTTTATACAGCAGCCCAACAAAGCCCTGTTTTTGTTTAGACAACATGCTAATTGGGTTCTTCCGAAAACCCAAGTGTGAGATCATGTTACAATAAAAGGTGAATTTAAAGCTTTTATCACATTTTACCAATGAAACTGAATGTTTATTCCTAGTAGTTGCTTACTGCTGCTGCGTTGCCTTTAGTTGTTGTACAGCATCGTCGTAACCATAATTTATCTTCTTCTCCAGTAACTTGTAGTGGTTTTCCATGGACTCAATCTCGGCTTCCCACTCCTGCTCCTCCCGGGCCAGCTCCTATATAGACAACCATCCTCTGTCAGGCACTGAATTTAAAAAGCAGTGGTTCATTCTCTGTAAGAATAATCAGGTGTGAGAGCTACCTGCATGTTAGCATCCAGCTGTTCATCAAACTTGCGGATCTGCTCTCTGATCTGCTTTAGATCGTTGGACTTATCCACAATGTTGGAACCGATCTTAAAGAGAAAAGCGCTGATAAATTCCTTACAAAGATGTGTTTGCAAAATTCTAGTGTTAAGAAAATTAAGTTACTTGTTCACCAGACTGCACCAGGCGGAATTTGAGGTTTACTAATCTGCTGTGGGCTTCTTCGACATCACTGATCATCTTTTTCAAAAGTATCTACAACAAGGTACAAAACTGTTTTAGCTCATGTTACACACAGAGGGCAACTAAACTTTCTGAAATAGTATCATTTTTAGCTCAGAGCACCTGGATCTGTAGTTTATGCTGAACTTCGTTGTCGGATCCACATCCAAATGACCTAATTTCAAAATCGTGTCCACAGGCGTTTTCTGCGGACAGAGGAATCAGCTTCAGTTTCCGTGCCAGCTTGTTGTACTCTGCCACCTTCAGATCCATCTGGGAATGAAGGAAATAGCAGAAAGATGAAGGACTCAGTTTAAGTCTAAAGAAAAATGTCTTCTACTTATTTCATCCTAACACATGAGAATAGCTAATTTGTGTAAATCCTTCAAGAAATAGATCAATACAAAACCAATAAACCCTATGAGATCTATATCTGCCTTCCCTCCAGTAGGTATTACATGAACATACCGTCTCCTTCACTTTCGCCACATTGATTTCTTCGTTCCATCTATTTATTTCAGCGTCCTCAAGAGCTTTGCTCAGACTGGTGATTGTCTGCTGCAGCTCCCTCTTCTCTCTGTTGATTCTCTCCACATCAGCTGGAGTATACTTTTGGTTCTGCAGGAGTTGCTGAAGCTCGTTCTTCTCATGTTTCAAAGTCTCAAGGTGACTGACTGAAAAATTGAAGGACGGCCGAATTAATACAAAAAGCAGATCTAGTATCTTCATGCTACTAGAAACATACGTTTTTCTCTTCATAGCAGTAAGCGTTCCTGTTTGACTTCCTGTTTCTGCTATGGATAATACACTTAGCTCTGCTTTACTGTGTTACTTAGAGACTTAATATAGACTTAGATTGCTAACATAAAAAAAAAAAAAAACAGTGTTCATATCTACCAGCAGTCTCGACCTCTTCATTTAGCTCTGAATATTTATTCTCCAGGTTAGCTTTAAAAGACACCAGATTGTTCCGATAACTCTGCAGCTTCTGGAGGTCCTCCTCCCCTTTTGCTTTGTCCATCCTCATCGTCATCAGACGGTCCTGTGGAGGAAGAGGGCCGGGCAGTGACATTAAAGCAGGGATTAAAAACTGCCTGAACTGACAGAATGATGCGCAAAGTTCAGCCATCAAACCATCACATTTTCAGGCAACAAGTCCTTTGTACAGATCATAGACATATTTTTTTATATATTTTTGACACCAGGTTCTTGTTAGCATTGATAAGGTTTCTCCTACTTTTTGAGCCTCCTTTTCCAGAGTTTCCACCTTCTTACTGAGGAATTCGTGTCTCTCCTCTAGTGATTCCTGCAGGGCCTCATCAACGTTGTAAACCTGCTCTGTAAAGAAAAGGTTTTCTGTTATTTTATTTTTTTAATCCCGATATTTATTTATTTTTTATTCAACTCCATTTTAAATCTTTAAAATAATTCTGGCTTTCCCAGCTATCTCACACATAATCTCATATGAGCCCTGACTCTTTAATTTGGAGAGTAGCTGTGCTTACTCAGTTTGGTAGAGAAGGCCTCGTCCTCTTCCTTAAACTCATCCTTGCCATGGATGAACTTGTAATAGGTTTCCGTCACATGGTCAAAGAAAGACTGTAAGATAAAAAATGAATTTGAGGTAATTATCTTTTAAATCAAAGAAGCAACTGAAACAGTTCTGCTAAAAGCACTGATCTAACCTCCAGTGAGAGAAAACAGCTTAGTACATCTTTTAAACAAATCTAGGTGGACTTTTTTGACGTTTTCTCTAGGTGGAAACAGTTACCTTATTGTATTCAGCTCCATCCTCAATATCCTCAGAGTCATCATAGATCTCCTGCTTAGCCAAACTTTGGTTGATCTGCAGCACAGACAATTGTTAGAGGGAAAACCCTGAACAACTTATACCAACACATGTAGATGTTGTGTTTTCTCCTTAAATCACACAGGCCGATCCTATTATTTTCTTCACACCTTGACGGTATCTACGAGCCACATGAGCGCACCCAGGGCCTGAGGCCAGGTGTGTGGAGCTCCAACTGAATACATCGAGCACTTGGAGAGAACAAAGGGATACCTTTGAAAGGAGATGGAGAGAAATGTTTAAAAAAAAAAACATACATATCATCCATGTAGAGAGAGTCCACATAGCACAACAGGTATGAGAGATTAACTTTACCTCAAGAATTTGAACATAGCTGGAACCACCTCTTCCACTTTGACTGATGGCATTTCGAATGTTGGATCAAGCAAGCGGTAAATGAACTCAAACATCTTTACAAACTCCTTGGTGGAGGGAGACTGAAGGGTTTTGGCTGCCACTGGGTAGCCCTGTTCTGTCAGGAACTAGAATAAATAATACATATAAATAAAAAAATCGGATTTAATTAAAACCCAAAGATAGGCTTTAACTGATAATCCAACACTTCCTATAAAAAAAAAAAAAAAAAAAGATATTTTTTTTATACAAACAGTGCAGGCATTTTACCTCATGCAGCTGCCTGATGCATTGCTGAACAAAAGCTTTATCATGGAGTGGTCTGGAATCTTTGATCTTCTCAGCTCCTCCAAACCCCGACACTGAACTGCGAGGCATGCTGGCTCCACTAGTCCTGCAGTAAAAAAAATAAAATAAAAAATAAATAAATCAATATAACATTTTAATAATTCCATATTTTCAGGCCAATCATATCATATGAACGTAAATTGGGCTTATTTGAAAGTGTGCTTATTTACCTACAACACTAACTCCTTTTACCTGACCCAAAACAGATTAGAAAATGAAGGACACTTGAACCTAATGCATAGAAGTGAATAATCATTGATTACTTTACCTAATCTAATAACACTCAATCTGGCTGTTTATTGTCAATATGTTTTATGTCAATAACAGAAGATGTAAAAAGAATTAATATTTTAGTATCATTTAAAAAAGAGGCATATGTGTAAAGAGATAGAAAAATAGTGGTAGAATGGATCCATTATTGGATCCAAACTGATCTGTTTTATCATCCCAACATTGTTTTTATACAAAAACCAGGTAGAGCTGCAAATATGTCATGACTGTCATATCAATATGTGTGATACTTATTTTGAAAAGGACCACTTGGCTTTTAATCATGGTTGATTAATATTTTCAAACATTATAGATGTGCATTCTAAATGCTAATGTAATATTTAACTGGTTGGAAAGTGCCTCACAGTAACAGAGGCTCAAAGAAGACACAAATCACTAAATGCTAAAGGTCACAGAGCGTCAGAAAGCACAGATGAGAAAGAAAGAATAGAAGAAAAAAAAATTTAAATATGAAAACTGAGATCACCATCAAAAGGTTTACCAATTACTAAATTAGTTGACAATTACAATCAGTAGTAGTCATAACAGCTAGCCCTAGTTAGGACTAAGAAATGTTGCTGTATTCACTTACCGGGGACCAAAGAAGCTGGTCCTCTTTTCAGAAGTCACAGATGAAGGTCTCGTCATGCTGAGCTTTCCAAAGGAAGGCTGTTTGCTGCAAAGAAATCCATACACACACACAAATAAATGGAGTTTTATTTTTCCCCATAAAAAAGAAAAAAACAAAGTAGGACACATAAACTAACAAAACATATACAACCTTTAGAAAGACAAAACCAAAGAATTGCTGAGTAACATGCAACAGATTCAACTACAAACTATCAGGATGTACCGATCATCTAAGCAAAGTCACCTTAAATATTTTCCAATCACCTTTTCACTTTGGTGAATGGTGTGATGTGTGAATTGTTATACAAATGGAAGAACAAGTCTCAATTTGTAGATGGCCCAATTGTGCTTCATGCCTCAAGTTTAAAGGTGAAATATAGGGCATATACAAAGATTATCTACATTTATCAAAATTCTGGGCCCAAACATAAACAGCAAAGAGGTATGCAAAGTTTGAAAAGTCAATAAGCAAAGGTGTCTCCGCCGGATGTTTTTTTTCTCAGATGAATTAATACATCTGTGATAATTCCACTATAATTATAATACATCAGGGGAGTGTCAGCTTAGTGGTTAGGGCATAAAACTTGGAATGCTGAGGTTCTGAGTTTGAACCCCACTCCCACAGACTGCCACTCTGGGTCTCTGAGCAAAGACCTTTAACCCCCGATTTCTCCCCGGCGGCCCAACGATGGCAGCCCTCTGCTCCCAAAAGGGATGGGTTAAATGCAGAGGTACATTTATCCAATGTGAAATCAATAAAGTTCAATTAGTTATCATAAAAATAATTGGGTCACGTGCTTCAGGTAAGTTCAGATTATCAGATTATCTAAGGCAAAATGTTGTATAAAATGAAGATCTACAGAATTTATGATAATTCATTTAATAAATAATAATCTCATACTGATAAATGTACCAAGTTTATTTTCCTTTAAATATACCAAGACAATCAGTATCATTGCATTGAAGAGTTATTATTGTGTATTGGGTGGGTGTGGTATGTTCCAAATTGTTAATTACATTTCGGTATACTCGAAAACATGCACCGCGTCATTGTATATCAAAATATATGAGAAAGAAAGAAATTAATAGAAATAGATAATTATAGAAACCTCATAGGCGTTGTATAGACCGTGCTCGTCCTGTTTGTGTCTTGTACTCTCAACGGCATCTCTTGTCCTCTGCCAGCTCGACTCTTTCTTCCACTTGTTACAATCAAGAAAAAAAAGGCATTTAGCATAAACATCTAAACGGCTGCTACATCAAATTCAACACAATGAATTACAAATTATCATCATAATCCACCCAGTGTTACTAGCGTATATGCATAGGCTTGTAAGGCTAACTTACCGAAATATATATATATATATATATATATATATATATATATATATATATATATGTATATCTTTTTGATTTTAACCCAAACTAACTAAATATAACTCAATAATAACAGTGCAAGTTAGCTCCACAAAATATAAAATCGCTAGATACAAACAAAGCCCTAAGCAAACGTCGCGGTTCAAATTTAACGGTCCGTTTACAATAAAACACACTCCGGGCAGAAGAGACTTCATTTCCCCTCCTGCTTTACATGACAGATATTATTATACGAAATAAGAATTTAAACTTACCGATCCATATCCTTAAAAATGTATAACCAGCTGGGTACGAAACAAACCGTTCATCCAACTTAATTCGAAACCCGCCAAAACGATTCAATATACCAACTAGCAATGGCGTCAATTTTGTACGGTAAGCGCCTCGGTCCATGCGGCTTCTTCTTCTCTGCTGTGTATGGCGGTTGAAAAAAACTTAGCTCATTACTGCCACCTTCTGGATCGGAGTATAAATCGAAAGCTATCGTTTTCTTCTTTTAAAAGTGTTTTTAAAATAATATTACAAATATGAAGAAATATTAAACTATTTGACATGATCTAAAGTAACTCAGCTACTCCCAGCTTAAAAATATTATCACATCAAAAGAATGTATGTTCTGCAGTTTCTAATAACCTGTAGGATGTTTCATTATTTAAGGAATATAATTTATTCCTGTATGACCAACTATCATATCACGATATAATCTGGAATTTCATAAAATTAAAAAAATACCCATGCTCTATCAGCTATCTTTGCAGAAATATTTTATACATTTTGATACACTCTGAATATATTTACAGACCTTTTAAATGTCTCTCCCTTTTTTGTAAACCAGATTTAACATGTAAAAAAGACATAAGGTGTAATAAATCATTGCATTATGGATGTGGAGTTCTTCCTGGTATTTTACTAAAAGCTAAAATAACAAGTTATGGAGGATGGTTTTAATGGAAATAGGCCTAATGTCTCACATAGAGTAGATGTCTCAATAAGATGTGCCAATTATAACACAAATTGATAAATAGATTTAAGAAAAAAAATCTTGAAAGAAAAAAAAACATTTGTACTTGGAGCCATAAAGGAACAATTTTAAACGAATCCAAATAAAAAACAAACATAGGATGATATCTCTGATCTTCAAAAAGGCTAAAAGCAATTATGACAAAATAAATATGCAAGATCTGACAAGTCAATGGCCGCAGTGCCACCTTATACTGTCGTGATCATTTACTTTAAACCTTATTACATCAAAAAATTACACGATTAAAGAAAGTTAGAACATATATGGCAATATAATTAATATTGAAGCTTTTTAAGACAGAAATTTAAAATAAAGAGCTATGCAAACATAAGTTTCTTTTAAATAAGATGCTTTCACTTAATTTATCAAGACAAAACTAACTTAACACTATTTAAAGCACTAAACAGATTTCAGGGGAAGAATCGGGTTGGTTTATTTAGACAGGGTTTATAACTTAAGTTTTGTTTTGTAACAGCAAAACTGAAATACCTCAGTCTGTGCTTTATACCATAGAACAAACAGTTAAAGGTATAGTGGAAGGTTTTTGCAAATTTTGAAAAGAACCACCCTATCCACTCAAAAAAAGGCACATGCACAACCCAGTACTTGCTCTGGAGAGGGAACACCTATTGAAGACACGCACGAGAACATTTCTCCTCGTACACCCTCTGTTTAAAAGATGCTGTTTGCATCGCTCATACAAGCTCACTTTCCAAAAAGATGTACAATTTTCCCGCTATGTCTCTCACCACTAGGAGGTGAAAATGTGGACGAGCACGAAGGACCGCCTTATGTAAACATATCACCAGAATGATTGACAATTAGGAGGACCACTTATTTTGATGATGGACTCAGAAAAATAACATCCACTACTACGGTATACATTTAAGAATCAAGAACTGAACATGGAAAATCTGATAATATTAATGCTTTTAAGGCGTAATATTAGGCTTGCATAAACTTCTGGATAGTAATTAGATTTTATTAGAGCTGCAATATTGTTGAAATCATTAATTTAACCCTAAATTTTATATATCCAGTGCTTGCAACATCAGTTGACCTGCAAAATAACTCGACAGCGGACCAATTCCTTCAATCTCCACCTGTAAAATTACCTATGAGGCTGACAGAGAAAATAAATTCTACCCAAAGAGCATCAAGAAAGCTAGTTATTTAAATTTTTATATACGATTTTGAGTTATGAATAATTTTAATGATTCCCCCTTTAGTTACACAAATTATTGCAAGATGAAAATAATTAGAGAATTTTTATTTGATGCATGTATTTCATATTTTATTTAAATTATGCGGTATAGAAATATTTAACAACTTATTTAACTGTGGCAGCTTTGTTCCTCTATACTGGAAAAAAACATAGAATGCTATGTTTGGGTCTATGGACTCAAAACCAATGCTTGGCATTACTAGTAAAAGCTTTCAGTCACATTCCATCCTAATTATCTCAATGCTATTACAACATCCTCATTAAATATTTGCTTTCATTTGTAAAATGAACTCATATTAACACTTTGAGCAGACAAGTGAGAAAGAAGTAGAAAATTTATTGCAGTATTTGTTCCACCAAAAGGGTATGAATCCCTTTCTTCTTATTACTAGGGTGACCTAATACAACAAAATCTAAATTTACAAAATATCTTCCTGCAATAGGCCACATATACTGCATGCGTAGTTCGAAATAGAATAAATTATATTCAGAGGACTCTGCCATTGTACAGCATGGACAAATAAACGTGAACAAAAATAAAAATTCTTATTTTCTTTTTTTACTTTTTCTTCCCAAATATCTAAAAGCTATAAGGAAAAAAAAACCATCAGGGTGCTAGTTGTATAATAAACTCCAAAAAACACTTTGAATAAGAACATCAAAAAGACTAATTCCCAACATTCACTTAAGGTTTTATTCTTTTTTTTTTTTTTACAGCTTTTTTTGTATTCAGAGATATAAACATTTTAGTTTTTTGTCATGTTAAACTATGATACAGTGGGAGTAGAAATGAGCGACTAGAATCTGCTGCACAACAGCGAAAGAGCTCCCACAACAATGTTGACAAAACATTTCCCTCCAGGTCTCTCTTCCGATAGCCTTCTAAGGGATAATCTGGGAGAATTATTCCTTTAATGCCTTCAGGATTCTATCCTCTGAACATGTACACAAGCAAAACATGAGAAGTCCCTCTTATATAAGTCTCCTGTTTTGTGTCGTTTTTTTGCAAGAATAAGTCATGTAAAAGTATGTAGTGTCAAATATTCTTGCCCTCTTGTGTTCTCTTACAAAAATGAGGAGCTAGGTAGGAATCCAGTGAAGTTTGGCTGTGTTGTTGGAGGTGACAGGTTGAGGAGGAGGAGCAGGAGCAGGGAAGGAGAGGGGTTTCAGAAAGTAGAAATGGAACAGGGAAAAAAAAAAACAAAAAAAAAAACAGGAGCCATTAGCTAGCCCCTCCTTCCCGTGCTGCATATAGTGAGCGTAAAGTCTGTACAACTTTGTTGCTCAGTTTGTGGTTGCTGGTCAAGGCAATCTTCTTGTAAATGATGTCCGACTCCTTAATAGTGTCCACCCAAGGCACCAGTTTACGACCGTCCCTTTTCTTGGCCTCTGCCCAGGGTCCCGAGTAAGAGCCTGCCATCCAGTGGATTGTGTATCCATTGGCAGTCTTTTGGGTGACTCGAGCAATCTGAGGTCGGTCCTTGTATTTGGGGCAACAGAGGGCGATCACGTCCATAGCTTCCACCGTTTCGCTCATTCGGCCTGGATCTGAGGAGTCGCCTGCTCGCCTTGACCTTCGAGAGGACTACCAAGAGAAGGAAGTTAAAAAAACGAAGTTAGATTTGACCTAACAGGAAACATTTAATACAAGGTGAATCTATCCGTCTCACCCCTGGGGTCCGTTCATCGCTATCACTATCGTCGTCATCCGTCTCCGGTCCTGCCTGATTGCGCGGACTGGGTCCCGATAACAGCCCAGAGCCTCCCAGTAGGGCGTTTATGGCTTTGTTTCTGATGTTGGCGCTAGCAGAGGCCTCTCCTTCCTCATCCTCTTCATCTGGATCCAGGTGTTCCATCAGAACTTTGAACTGCATGACATGATGGCAATTGTTTAAAGGATCATGGTGACAGAAATGAGCAAGGAAAGTTTTAAGCATTTATCCTAAAATGATTTAAGTTGCAGGTGAGAAGAAGTAAAAATGAAGGAAATGCCAAAGCTCGATTGCTGGAAAAAAAGCTGAATTGTACCAAGAAACATCTCTGCTCTAGTTTTATTACTTACATCCAGGTACTGTTTGACTATCCGCCGTTTCACGTCCTCCGTCAGCGTGGCATTACCCATGTTGTTGAAGATGAAGTCCAGGGTTTGTCTTGGGCTGAAGGTAACGTTGTTTTTCCTGTTCACTGCTTTATCGTACACCTTGGCCGACTCTGTCGGAGAGTACTTCTGAATTTTACTGTTGAGAGAAAGAGAGAGAGCATTTTGTCAGGCGCTTTATGATGGCCTTTTTTTTTTTTTTTGCTTAATTAAATCTAACCATGTGACACTCATTCCATTTCAAGTCTGACGAAAGTGGCCACCTTAACTTTCTAAGATTATTCCAGTAAGAATATTAGGATAAGTCGTATTCATCACCAGCTCTTATTCCTCAGCATAAACGTCTCTAGATATCAGAACTGCTGCAGACATCTGAATATGTTTGTCTAAAACTATCCTATAGTGAAGCTACTTTAATGAATTATGAGTTTTTTTGTTTTGTTTTTTTTTTTTTTTTTTTTACAGGATCAAAACACACACACTTCCATTCATGATGTCCTCACTAAGATCTATAATCAGGTTTGGACATAAAGGACAGTGGAGGTCCAGTTGACCGGCTAAATATGTTCCAGCCATGGAATAAATTACAGCCCAACAAATATTACATTTAAGCACATCTGTCATTATGACACTGCAAATGTGAATTTTCCATTTGATAATGATGCTGCTGATAACTAAAGGCATATTGACTAGTAAAGAGTAACATTCAGAATACTTCAACAAATTAGAGTTTTTAAATTATAACTGGACAACTTGAAATTACCACTTAAGGAGTCACAAGTTGAGATTAAAATAGAATGACAGAAAGGAACTTAAGATTTTTGTGAAGATAAGCAGGCCTAAGAGTCTATAGAAGAAGCTGATCAGTATTATAAGGGTTTGATTACAGATCTTACCCGTCAGAAAACCCATAAAGGTTCTTCAAATGCTGCTTGAGCACCAGCAGAAGCAGGATACCCTGAACCGCATTAGCAAAGTCCAACAGGCCGCTGGGATTATCTGGCAGGAGCCGCATTACTTTGTCCACATCCTCCACATCCAAATCCTCCAAATCAGATTCAGAATCT